AACCAGTCAAACGGAGGAAATCTGTGAATTATGGCCATAATTGTGATGTAGTCCGAGTCTGTTTGGACTCAACCACTCAAAGCCTTTTGGAGAAGTCTTCATTCTTGTATTCCTGCACTGAAAAGCTTTCAATTTATTGGTCATTCTACTTCCTCACCATCTGTGCTGTTCTTTGGTGAAAAGTGTTTCTTATGCACTTTTCAATTTTAGACAAATCCCGGTCGGAATAGAGTTTGCAAGTTCTGTGTCTGCGTAGGTTTCCTCCGGATGCTCCAGTTTCCCCTACCACTAAAAACATGCACAATAGGTCTGAATGTAATGAGTAAGTGAATGGATGGTGTTAGTTGAGGCTTTGATGCGCCAGTGTGTTGGTAGCCAGTGTTACCAACACACTGGCCCAACCGTCCATAAACGGAGGGTTTTATTCCCAAAGCTTCATTGTGTGTCAATGATGAAGGGAGTGAATTTTTTTGGACAAGTCTAGTTTAGTTGCTGTGAATTTTTGAAGGCACTCGTCAAATGAATCGGGCTCGTGCCGGCTGACACATGCGCAGATGCGTTTTTTCACATTTTTCAGCCCCCACGGCCATTTTGAAACTGCCCATAGGCTGCAGAAGTGGTGGAACATTAGTTTAAACGGCGGAGATAGGCGTGACTATGTCCATTAATATTTACAGTCTATGCTTCAAAGTCACAAAGAGAGTTAGTCCAGCTTTAATGTTCTAACCATACATTTTCTTCCCCTCAATCCATTTCTGGTTTGGGGGGCAGCAGTCAGAGCTGCACCTAATTCACAGAGCACCAGACCCTCACTTCTGGTTCAGGCAAAATGGTGTTAAGTGTCTTGCCCAAGGACACATCAACAGCAGACATCAGTGGGAATCATTGGAGAAGGTCTAGTGGTGGACTCAAACCCCAGACCTTCAGGCTCAAAGGCCAATGCTCTACCAACTGAGCTACTGTTGCCAGCTACTGCTACTTAATGAAGTTTTTTGTTTAATATTTGAACTGTGTTTTTAATTCAATTCAATGTATTAGTGTATTGCCCATATCACAACAGCAGTCGTCTTTGAGGACTTTACAAAGTTGTGGATTCGCCAACAGTGGAATCATAGAATAAACAAACACATAGGAGCCACCGCATCAAAGAGGAACCGCCACTCAGAAACACTGGTTAAGCTTCAGTTAGCACAAAGCTCCTGTCATACACAAACGTAGATCCATGTCCTTTATACTGTAACAGACATTTTGCTCTCTTCAGTCACTTCTTTTAAACTTTCCTTTTAGCGTGTCCGTACACACAGCTCTCACAGACTAAAACCCACCAACAAAGCCAAGATGGCACTAATCGAATTCTGCGTTTGCGTGAATGAAAAGTTTGTGAAGTTTCCCTCTGAGTTCACCTCTGAAAGGCCACTGTTTGGTTCATATTTTACTTAATGTCACATCTCTTTCATGCAAACAAACGCTGAGCTTTTTGTGCAATCCCACGTTTTCAAATCTGTCGTCTGGCTCCGAGTCTATAGCGCGTAGTGTTATTTCTTTATTTCTTTTGTCCTGAGCTCTATACAGACAGGTTTAAGTGCCTTGGACTTGTATTCTCCCATTCACCTCTGTGCACCGCAGTCTTGCGTGGCCTCTTCTCCATTTCCAGCGCAAAAAGAAGAAAAAACCTCATCATGTCAGGCTACACCTTGACCCCTCCGCTGCCCTGCAACCACTCCGCGCCTGCAAAGCCAAACACATGCCTCCACAATTAACTCTTGCACCGCTATCAATTTATCCCACAGAAAATAAAGGCGCCAGTCACCCAGGTTCAAAACAGAAAGAAGTACAAAAAACACACGGATAAAAGTGCTTTTTCGAGATGGATGGCGGATGATTGAGGAAAAAAAGCCTTTCAGTGGCTGCAGAGTAACTGTCACCGAAGCCACAGCAGACACCATTGAGAGCGTCGTCCATTCAGAGGCTGTCTTTGAGTTGGTTCGACAAACAATCACCGGGAGTTACAGGGGTTATGTTTATCGCTCACAGGGACAGTGTGGAAATGCCTTAAAAGCTCAGGTAGAATGAAGTGCCGGGTGTAGCCCGGGTTGGTGTATTGATTGGAAAAGTCGATGGTCAGCCAAAGGCCCAAGGTGTAAACTCGCAGACTACTTTGCTCCTGGCATTTATTGGACTGGTATTCAAATGCAACTCAATCTATTCATCATGCCATCTCCAATCGGATGTTGAGGATTTGCATAATGGTGGCGTACGAGCTGAAATATGACCCGAAGAGCTGGAGCGATCGGGAAGAACGCGCCCAAGTTTAACCTAACATTGACCTATGACTGAGGCTGTTGCAGGAGTTTCCAGTGGATTCTTAAGAGTTGGAAAAGCTGTCAAAAGGTGTCATTTCTTACAAATTGACAGCATTCTGGTTCAATAGACGAGTTTCTGTGTGTGAATAATATAATTAGTATTTGAAATCCATGAAGTGCTATTGACCCAGGCACAAAGACAAAACACTGCAGTGGATGAAGCAGGGATTTTCAGATTTACATCACAGACAGTACAAATTATAAACTGTTTTCTTTACCATTCAAACTAACATAAAGCCACTCGCTAGATCTGCGGTGGAACAAATTGACTTAAATCTAGGCACTAAAGCTGTGTTTGGGACTAGGCTCTAAAGCTATGTTTGGGAGCAGGTACTAAAGCCGTGTTTGTGGAAGTGAAACATATAGAATAAAGACGATGGGAGAAAACAGACGTCACAACTGGGTTTGTTTGTTCACTCAATGTTGAAGTATAATGCAGTACTTTTGGCCCATAGAAATAATATGAGACTGTTTCCTTTGTCATGTCAGGTTTTAGATTTGCGATAATATCTTAAATAGAAAACATACATGAAGAATATAACACTCTTCCTGTCTGTAACTCCCTATGCTGCCACCAGAGGGAGCAGTGTATGCAGTCAGAGGGAGCAACAATTGTAAAGTAACTAATTTCAACTGAGAAATGGATCTGCAGACTCAGGAATGAGGCTGTAGATTCAGGACTGACATTTTAGACCCAGGACTGAGGCTGTGTGGTGCAAGACTGAAAAAAAAGCTAAAAATACTCAGTTACTTGACATCTCTGTGTAGGACTCATAAATGGTCGAAAATCCAATACAGAATTCTCACATCGACCAGCTCCCTCCTCCCCGATGCCACAAGCCAAGGCCTCCCAATTAATGCCAATCAGAGCTGTGGCAGGCTGTTACAGGGCCAGCCACTCCCAGAACCGATCCCAGGCTGGTCCCGGAAGCGGCCCTGGGAGCGGCTGGCCCTGGCCTCTGCTTCTCACCTGTCAGGAAGTCCAGTGTAGAAAACTCTCTGCTCATTCTTTATTCATATCCGCTGCTACACTGCTTCTAACACCCACAATGCACAAAGATATATTGTCTACTCCATTCCAGTCTGCCCTATGTCCCAGAGGCCTCCCATCACAGTACTAACCAGGCTCTGTCCTGCTTAACTTCAGAGGTCTGACGGAATCTGGCTTTCGACTGAACCCACAACTTTCTTGCCATGTGTTACTGGACCACTGCAAGTCAGTATATTTATGAATCACAAAGAAGAACTTATGAAGTAAAGTAACCTTAAAACTGGGGTATGTAACTGTCAAAACAAAACACATACTATTCCTGGCTCTAAAATATTTATATCACTAGTTGCATGTTTTTTTTTGTCTCTGTCACATTTTACTGGTCTATTGCAGGTCTCTCTCTGGTCTCTATTTGGTTTCTCTCTCTGATCTCTCTCTCTGGTCTCTGACTTTTTCAGACAGAAAAGTGAAACATAGAGGACCACCCTCACTAGGTCAATCAGCTCTCAACCCAAAGCAGATAGTGACTCCAAGGGTTCTCACTTACATATTTTTATTTTCTGATCAGATGAAGACAGCATGTTGTGTCTGATTTGACATTGACTGTTACTGGGAAAAACTACAAAAAGTGTTATTTATGAAACTCCATCATAGAGCAACGCCACAGGTCCACAGCCCCCTCCTCTTCGTTAGCCTCATTATATGTATAATCCATAAAGGTTCTTCAAAAGCACGTCCACAGGTGTGTGGCATCAAACATTTATCCAGACACCATAATGTTAACAGAGGCACCAGTCTTGGAGCAGCACAGGGCCCTGTCATTACAACGTCTCGCTCATCACCACAAAACTCATCCCTGTGTTCAATAATGCATCCACTGCTCTTCTCTGTAACGTGGACTTGCTGGCGTCTTTGGGACAGTAATGCCACCTGACAATCTCTCCCCACTGAAAGAGCTCGGACTGTTGTGATTGACAAGGACAAAAAGGAGCAGTCCCTGGCCCCAGTTTTTTGAATTGTCAACCGCGGCTGAGGGATTTGAGAGTTTGAGAGGATGAAACCATGACTTTGACTAAAGAAAGGAAGGACTTAGGGCTGACAAGTGTGATTACAGTATGGAGGAGAGTCATTTAGGGCGCGGAGGCAGGAGACGTCTCAACAGGACACTCTATTATTCATGGCACAGGGGAGAGCGGCTGTTCAAGGCCAAACTCTGCAGCTCTGTGAGAGAGACACCTCTTTATTTACTGTTAATGAGGCACTTAGAGCGAGGGACACTGCCTCATGAACATGAACCAGTGCTTCTGCCGCTTATGTCTGCTGCTGAGACTACAGTGAATAGAAGATACTGCAGGTAATAGGAAAATACACATTCTAAAACATGTTTTAATGTTACTAGGGGTGTCACGATTCTCCAAATCCTCAATTAGTTTAGATTTTTGATTTTAGGGTCACGATTTGATTAGATTCTCAATCTCTTTTCTTTTTCTTACAGCACACTATGGCGTACTGTAGCGTGGCTCAATTACCCTAATTAAATCCAAAGACTGTCATTAACTTTCCATTGAAACTGGACGCAACACATGGTCCGGTTTGAATGCCCCTTAACGCTCATTTGAGCCAATGAACAATGTTATCAGTTAAAGATGTATTTGAAAAAAGTGACCTGGAGAGCAGACCCAGAGCGGACTCTGAGCGAGGACCCTGCGAGCAGACCCGGAGAGAGGATCCCAAGACTGGAACCCGAGACCGGATCCCGAGACCGGATCCCAAGACCGAATCCCAAGAGCAGACCCGGAGAGCGGACCCGGAGAGCGGACCCGGAGAGCGGACCCGGAGAGCGGACCCGGAGAGCGGACCCGGAGAGCGGACCCGGAGAGCGGACCCGGAGAGCGGACCCGGAGAGCGGACCCGGAGAGCGGACCCGGAGAGCGGACCCGGAGAGCGGACCCGGAGAGCGGACCCGGAGAGCGGACCCGGAGAGCGGACCCGGAGAGCGGACCCGGAGAGCGGACCCGGAGAGCGGACCCGGAGAGCGGACCCGGAGAGCGGTGGCTATTAGTTGGCTACGCAATTAATTCGTAGCCAGATCTTACTTGGCGTAATAGCAATCCCTAATCCTACACTAAAAGTGTGTACATTGACTTGACTTCATGTGTTGACGTTTGCATTATGTTAAAAATGTTGCTGGTTGTTCTTGCAGCAGCAGTTAGCGAACGTTAGAACTTAAAATTTGCGCTGTTTGGATATAATCCTTCATCTCAATGGAAAAAATTGTTCAGTCAATAAACAGAACTTATATTTCGAAGCAGCATCAAGACGTGATGATGCTAAGGGATTAAAAACAGAACCTTTAGGCTATCATTTGTTTATTATAATTATAACATTTAACTTGTGATTTACCTATCAAAAAACATTGACTGGAGAAGACAAGATTCAAAGTGGGTAGGTCAAAAAAAAAGTCGGTATACATCGGCCTACAAAGCCTGAGCACTAGCACCGCTTAGTGGTCTAAGGCTGGGTATTTTCACAAGGATATTGATGGTGCATGCAAAATCAGTAAAGAACAAGACAAAAAACTCTGTACAGCAGTCCTCTATTTAAATCATTCCTCATTGTGCTCTGAGTATACTGAATCTCCATGCTCTCTCTTTAAATATGTCTTGAAAAGGAAAGTGACATAGGAGTTTGCCTCTGAGACAGAGGACTGTGTTGAGGTGGACCCGATTTTGAGAAATTCTCATCGGATGAGAATGAGAGTGTCGACCCTTCTGTTGTCCCTAAACCACCAGCAGACACAATCTCTTTCCCCACCAGAAAAGCAGGGTAGACTTAGTGCTATTATTATCAAAACTCTTCCAGGACCCACCAGATATGTAATCAGCCATGTTGATGACATCATTTGAGCTCTTTGCAACACCATTGATCAAAAATATTGTTCATGGGATGACAAAATGAAAAAGAGGGGAAACGTGTGTATTGGGAGTTGGAAAGGATTGAATGTTGTTGAATTGGAAGCCTGCATTGGCTCGCTAATTTCAGGAGTTTACAAATCACAAGGTGAAACAAAAGCAAATTTGAAATGCTGCAATCGGAAAAGCATGTCCTACCACAGGTTGTCAAAGACATTCCATGTTTTGTCCCCTTGCCATAACGATATTAAAGGAGCGGAGTGAGATATTACTGTAAGTAGATATATTATCAAATTTAATCAATAAATTTAGTCAATAAATTTAAAATAAGTTTATGAAGAATGGGGAGGTCACCAACATCATTCAACATGGTTCATTCTTTATGAACATATACCTGAAGGTTTGACCTGATGGTGACTACAGGAAAGTTCATATTCATCATCATCAAAACCAATTTTGAGAAATGAATTTGATAAGATTTGTATGAAAACTAAAAGATAAAATAACACTAGTTTAAAGATTTGGCTTAATGGTGGCACAAGAGGAGAGGTCAACTCACTGATTTTCAAGGGGTTATCTATGTACAGTATAAATAATAATAAATAAACACAGTGCCTGTCACAAAAACTAGGTTAAAAAATGTTAATGTCTGTTAATCATTTTCTGGAGGTAAATCAATTTGACCCCAAGGACCAAATGTGTGATTATATTTGAGGACAATGGGGTAAGGGTTAAATCACGGCTCACACACCTCTTTGGGAACAAGGCCTCCCCCTTTGGAACAAGGCCTCACACACATCTGTGCTGCGTATCTCTGTTTGCTGAAGTCACACCAACCTCTCTGCGGACACCAGAGCAGATGCGGGATCGCCCTGGGTCTAAAGAGGAGGGGGGCTGGGCCTGAGGGGGAGGGAGGGGGGCTGCCAGAGCGTGTGTGAGAGGGGGGGCAGAGCAGGCGTCCACATAAGCACCTGTCATGTGCCAACTGAAGTGTTCAGTGCACAGATTGTCCATGCGCGGCTGATGTTTCCGCGGGGGTGACAGATCGGGTGCGGGTGCCAGATCAGGACCTGTCTCATGCAGATGCCCCCCTCTTCCCCCCTCTCTCTGCCACACGCTGAGGGCCACACGCTGAGGGCCACAGTGGCTGCTTATTTACTGGCTGTCTGCTTCATTTGCACAGATTCACTCTGGCTGGCCTTCACAGACACTGGGAACATCGCTGCTGAATAAAACCTCTCTCTGCAAAAACATTTAGATCATTTATCGCTGCGGTGTCAGCCGCTGGTCTGAATCACATTTGCACTTGGCTTCAGGTCGGACCCCAGAGAAGGTGCGGCTCGCAACAAGGCAAGGCTAATGTTACATGAAGGATCAGCCAGAACAGTGTGAGGGTGTGAAACGAACGATAAATAGAGCGAGCCAGGGGGCACTAGGCCGTGAAGCAGGCACCAGGCTGTAAAGGGGGGGCGCTAGGCAGTGCATCGGCCGGTCCGCTTGGGTTGGACCGTGACAGGGGTCAACAGGGTGGGATGGCAGCCATGGAGATCTGTGTGATTTTAGTTTATTTGTTTGTGCAGAGAGAGAGAGAGGGCAAAGACTGAATCTGAAAACAGCATTTGGGAAGTTGGAAGTACTTTTCCTACTGGGTATCCAAGTGAAAAAAGTGTTAAGCAGAGAGAGACCAGGGGGAGATGAAAGAGAGATCAGAGAGAGACCAGAGGGAAACCAGAGAGGGACCAGAGAGAGACCAGAGAGAGCAAGAGAGGGACCAAAGAGAGACCAGAATTAGACAAGAGAGATACCAGAGAGAGACCAAGGCAAGAAATTATGGAGAGACCAGAGAAATCAGTGAAAAGCCTAATACTAAGACCTCGACTCCTTGGTTCTGTGTTTTGTCCTTTTTGAATTCACAAAGCCTTGACTGTAGCTGACATAATCTCATTCACTGTGATATTCATATCTAAATACTTTGAAATTGAGTTTTTCATAAACATCCTCGTTCTTATCATTGATTAGACGCCCTGACTGCAAGTTCAGAGGGCAGAGTATGTTTGAATGTCCTTTAAAAGTTTAGATTTTAATTGAACATATTTTGCTGCTTAAAGGCATCTGCTTTTATCCTTTTATGTTCTGGCATCTTCTCCTTGAAGGCCACGTAGGGGGCAGTGAACCCTCTTAATGCTTTTAACATGCAACAAGATGGCAGCCACAGAGAGGCCCACTTGTTGTCAGGGTGTGAGTGGAGGTGAGAGCAAACATGAGAAGAATAGATGAGTGAGAGACGTGGCGCAGGGACTGATTACCCAGTATTCTGAGGCCCTGTTTATACAGAAACGCAGCTAAGCAATTCGCAAAAACCATCCCACTCAAGATTTGAAGTGCAAAGCGCTTACACGGCGAGTGAAAACAATGTAGTTCCAACGCCCGGCCGGTAGTAGGCAGTGGAACTTTATAAAGCGACACCCACCAGTATAACCACTACCTCAACAACATCCTCCTCAGGCCACCGGAAAGCCGGAAAATAATCCACCAACATCATTCTTCATTTAACAGTAGCAGCAAAAATGGTAACTGAAATTACAGCTTTGCGTGGTTTCATTTGGACGGACAAAGAAGTAGAAGCACCGCACAGCGAATCAGTATTCTCTGAAGGCTGTTTATCAAAGCTTGCATTTTCACCCCCTTGAAAAACCTATGCCGCGTGAACAAAAGTCTAAACCGTTAGTCAACTCTATAGTCTTACTATAACGGTCCTGAGACACCATAGGCCCGTTTCCACGGGCTCGACTCGACTCTCCCCAGTTTATGGAGCATCTATTCGGTACTTATTTAGTAACGGCTTGATCCTGGTTCTAGCCAGGCTGAGTAGATACCAAAACAATCTGACGTTGGCGCTCAGAGGCGCTGTCAATCACTCTTCAGCTGGTGCGAAAATCATAACAAACAACAAGTTGACTCAAGTTTCTTGGCTGAAAACTATAAATCAGAATAAGAATATTTTTTATTGCCATGTAAGTAACAGGAAGTCACAGACTTGGAAATTGCTTTGGCTCGGTGCAACAGTCAGAAAAGAGAGGTAAAGAATAGAGAATAGAGTAAGGCATAATAAACATCAGCATAAACTTCTAAGGTATAACATTTAAAATAGAATGATTACGATTACAATTACAATTATAATTACAATTACTACATACAATATACAAGTGCACATGGTGCACACAGTATACGGTAAGCAATAAGATGACAGCAGTAAAGAGACGTTATGATGGGCAGTAAAGTGACTTAATAAAGGGCCGTAAGGTGACTTATAAAGGGCAGGGGGACAGGTTATGAGTGTTCAAGAGTCCAACAGCAGAGGAGAAGAAACTGTTCTTATGGTGGGAGGTTTTGGTCCTGATGAACCGTAGTCTCCTGCCCGAGGGGAGAGACGTCCGTACGGAAAACAATTCTTCGGTCACAGGATGAGGTCAACACCTTTCTCAGTTTTAGGAGACTACTGCTTTCAAGCTCTAACAAAGAACAGTTTTATGAGTTTTAGCCCAGCATTCAGCATGTAACACAACAACTGTCTTTATTGAACCATGAATCCATTGTTCACTCTCTAACTACGTATTGTAAAAGATATAGATATGACACATAACATCAGCACCGCTTTATCTGTTTTTAGCCTTTCCGAACCCCACAGACACATGTTCGTCGTATAAGACCAAATACTTGAGCATTTGATTAAAAACAAACCCTCACCATTCCTCTCAAACTCAACATTTGGAGCAGGGACAAGGCAGAGTGAGGTATCTCCTGTTGTTAGCTGATATCCGTAAATTATATCCATTTGGTCAAACCACCTCCAAGCGGCTAAAGTGAGCCGGTGGAAACGCCCCCAAACCGGTTGTCGAAACCGGAGTCGATTGTCCATGATTCTGTCAATCAGTTGTGTAGATCCCCAAAAGAATATGGGATCATTACTCATGTGACTAAGAAATACTTTGATTCTGCAGTCGTTATAGAACTATCTGAATCAAAACCTCTTCATATGATGGATTGTTTTTTTGGTTAGCACAGTGCTTGTGACTTTTTCCACTGGGTTTTTGAGTGGTTTGTATCTGATGCAGGAGGGTCTAAGGACAGTGATAATCTGGTATTCTGTCGAGAAGGTCTGCCCG